TGCGATGGGTCAGACTTGACTTTGCAACTAGCAACAACAACAAGAAGAATTTGAGAAAGGCTATATTTATTTCAGAAGAGAAATAATGTGTCAGTAGTAATTCAAGAGTGAATTGCTAATATTTACCATGCTGGATTAAGGCAATAGATGACGGAAATCATGCATTTCAACTAATCTACTAAAGACAGTACCTCAATCTTAACTGCTCACAGCAACTCTCCTAGTGCTTCTTGAACTCTTGGTGGCTTCCAACAACAGTTATCATGATATCCTTTTGGATGAATTTCAGGGTTTCTGGACTAGCAGTATCTTTTTGTATTTTTGTATTTTTAATTCTTCCTCCCATTCAAGAACAGGTAGGGGTTCTCTACATACCTACCTCTGGAGGCCAGCCATGAGATCCTAGGAAAAGGCACAGATATTTTAAGGCATTGCTGATATATACAACATGAGAACCTTTGCCTGCTCTTCCTTACTCTTCTTGAATGAGAAAGAGCCCTCTTTCTTCTTTTAGCATTTGAATGCTATCTGTTTCTTTCTTCCAAAACTGCATTGGACACTCCTAATAGAACAGAGTTTGAGTGAATTATATGAATAATGCCCTAGTAAGCAAAAATAACAAATGGGAGAGCAATTAAAATTGTATCTTTATGATAGAGTAATAATATTAATTTAACTATTGTGTATTTGAAAATCACATACGTTTTGGCTTTATTCTCCCCCTAAAAGATTTGCTTCATATGTCTACACCTAATGAGTTCAGTAAATTTATTAGAGTTATTCATATAAATTGAATATAATTAAAAATGCATCTATTCACACTTTACTTCCATGGATTTCCAGGTATCTGGATGTCAGTTTCAACGTCAATGTAAGCATGGTGGGCTGGGGAATTCTGGGAGTTGAAACTCACACATCTTAAAGTTACCAAGTTTGTGAAACGTTGATTTAGCTCTTCTAAGCCGTTACCTACACTTTCCTCAATATTTTCTCCTTTGTCTTCCTTAGCTGGAAAGGTTGCTCTGGTTATCACAGAAATAAGAAAGAATACTGGGTGATAATTTCCTTTTTTTTTGTGTAGAGAAACTACAACAGAAAGAGAACCAGTATGTGGCTCAGCCTGGACCTTAGGGAATAGGGTTCCTGGCCTACCTTGTTTCAATTGCCTGTTCCCCTGAGTTTGCAGAAATAAGGACATCTGCCATCGGATTCCAGTAGCCACAGAAACAAGTATGAACTACTTATGCCTTTTAAAAACAGACTGCATTAAACATTTGGAGTTCATGTCTGAAATAAATAGAAAAAATAACTGTCTACTTGTACCCTTCTTCCAGTTCCTGTCCAGTTCTCTTTAACATATAATCAGCTTATCTCTGTATCTGCCATTCCCAAATTGTGTATGTTGGTATTCTGAGAGCTATAGCACAGGACACATAAAGACCACCTGATTCAGGAAAGATGCAATTTTAATACAAGCCAGCATAAAATTTGTTGCTTGTTTCCTCATTCTGAATTTTTCATTACTGCACAAAAGAACTTTCTCTGCCTAAAAACCTGAGCAAGTCATGAATTTGCAAAGCTGGCAACCTTTGTAAGTAAGCAATGTTTAGAACTTTGCGCTGCAGATATATTGTCTTGTTTCATTTTTATTTTAACTAGGTGTCATGATTGTTTCCTGTTAAGGCCTAGAGCCAGCACTATTGTTTTCATCCAATAAATATACATTTGAAAATAGCAGGTTTAGATATGGCTCCTTTAGGAATGGAGCAAAAATGCATCTTTATAAAGGTACCACTTCTATGTCATTCAATTTTCTTTACTGTGAAATACAAATTAGTTATTTTGATATGAATGAAATGCAAATTCTAGAATCTAGAATTGGCATTTGGCATTACTTGTCAGAAGTGACTGAGATGCCTTTTTAAACCATTATGGGAAAGTTGTTTTATTTGTCAGTTTTACATAATGCTGTCTTCTTGTGATAGCGGGTATTTGTGGGAAAAGCTCAGTATGTCTACTTTAATAACTCAGAAAAGGAAACCTATATAACTGAGAATATAGCTCACTTTGGAATATCAGTACACACTTTGTGGTGCACTATAATGTAAAATTCCGGACTCCAGATTTCTACTGAAGCTTTGATAACAGAAGTTAATGTTAAAGTTTAGATCAGGAAACTTTATTTGGCTCCCCAGTCCCTTAACATGCAAAACTCCTTTATGCTTTTGTGAGAGTTTCCATTAAGGGCAGGTTGAGAAAAGGATTTGCAGTTTTCTCTTTTCTGTCAAAAGATTGTACTATTCTATTTTCTTTTGTGGTCTCTCTCTTTTTCACATTACAGTTCCTTGCTGATAACTCAGTATAGGTAGAAACTGTAAATTAGGGACTCTTGTGATAAATAGTAGTACATGATACAAGGAGGAATTTCTAGGCAGATCCTCCAGCCCAGTGGTTCTCAACCTTTTTAATGCTGCGACCCCCAACCGGTTGTAAGTCAAGGACTAAACCGGTCGTAAGTCGAGGACTAAACCAGTCGTAAGTCGAGGATTACCCAACCGGTCGTAAGTCGAGGACTTTCCCTGCCCGGGAGCACCGCCCATGCGTGGTTCCGCCCCCTGCGCCGGCCGAGGCGTAGCTGGCAAGCAGCAGAGACGGAGCAGGCCGACCACCAGCTGGCCCAACTCAAGGGAGGTAAGGCATCCGCCGGAAAAGGGGAAAAAAATGGCGGAAAGCCTTGCTTGACGACCCCCGTGAAATGGTCAATCGACCCCAAATAGAGTCGCAACCCATAGGTTGAGAACCGCTGCTCCAGCCTAACAGGATCTCAGCTCCATGAAAGTGAGCAATTGATTGGGATTCCTGCATTTGTATGCATTTACATTCAGGAACTAGAATTAAATAACAGGAATAGGGAAAGGAGGAAAGAAACAAATGTATATTCAGATGAATAAACAATTTAAAGATGTAAATAACAAGGGAGCAGAGTCAAATAATTAAATGATCCATGGGTCTTAATCTCCCCACAAAAAGTATTCATGGTTGATTGCACAGAGACTGAGTTGACTGTACTGTAGTCACTGCGGTGCAACTCTGTCAGGACCAAAAGATGGCAGCTTTATCTCATTGTCATTGTTATTCCTTTTCAGAGTCTCTCAGGATTATTAACCTTATTAA